GAAGTATGCGGAAATCTAAAGAGATGACCCACAGCTTTCTTACAAAGCAGAATTAAGACTGTGCCTATACTTACCTCCCCTCCAGCAATGTGACATCCATGAACTCCCTCAATAACTCTATCATTTTTGCCTTGTCTGCTACTGGGTTGAGCATCTTTGGGTCACTTGATTAGGTACACTCACCAGCCACCTTATTAGGTACATCTTGTTAGTGCCAAGAAAATATCCCCCATACCATTACACCACCACCACCACCAGCCTGAACCATTGATAAAAGGCAGGATGGATCCATGCCTTCATATTGTTTACACCAAATTCTGACCTTACCATCTGGATGTCGCAGCTGAAATCAAATGCCCATTCTGACCTCTGACATCAATAAAGCATTTCATCCACACAACTGCCGCTCACTGAATATTTTCCCTTCTCCTGCCTCATTTCCTCACCTGAACTGTTTATTAGACTTCTGTGTACCAACCTCTGGCTACTGTCCTGGTTATCTGTGTCTGCTGCTTGCCCTGAACTCTGTCTTGTATTCTGGTCATCTGTACCTGCTGCCTGCCCTGACCTCTGTCTTGTATCCTGGTTATCTGTACCTGCTACCTGCCCTGATCTCTGTCTTGTATCCTGGTTATCTGTGTCTGCTGCCTGCCTGCCCTGACATCTGTCTTTTATCCTGGTTACCTGTGTCTGCTGTCTGCCCTGACATCTGTCTTGTATCCTGGTTATCTGTGTCTGCTGACTGCCCTGACATCTGTCTTTTAGCCTGGTTATCTGTGCCTGCTGTCTGCCCTGACCTCTGTCTTGCATCCTGGTTCTTTTTGTCTGCCTACCCTGACCTCTGGCTTTTATCTGTGTTATCTATATCTTCCTTGGTGTGAGCTTCAGCCCTCTTGGCCAGTCTAGACCTACAGTTCCTGGTGTGCTAATTTGTTCTCTCTGTGATCCATTGTGTCTAGAGCAGGGTGAACTCAGGCGCCATTGGCCACAGAGAACACAAATCAGGAACACACCAAGAAATGTAGCACGGGACCAGATGTCTGGGCAGGCTGGTGAACCCAGGAGTCATGAGACCAAACCCCTTGAGGGGTCCCTAGTGAATACCAATTTGTACTTAGCAAGTGATGTGAAATCCCCCATTGCAGAGTCTCTCACCTGGAGCATTATGGACCACATTGGTAAGATGTAGGTCCTGCGAGGGTCGTGTTCCACAGTTCCAGATCCCTTCTGTTTAAGTGTGCCTTTTGAGCTCCCAAGTCCTCTCTGTTCTGGTGTGCTTCCTCAAACACCTTGGTGAGATGTAGCTCCAGCTCCCGCAAGGATCATGGCCCACAGTGTTAGTGCCCAAGGTGCTCAGCATTCTCAAAGCTTGCTGTTGGCCTACATCTCTCAGGTACTCCTTCAACTTCCTGTTGGGTATCCCGTAATGGGTAGCTAAAGAGTCCACATGGGCAGGCACATGCTGACATTGTTCTTGGTTAGCATTTGGAAGAAAAAAGCAAAAACTAACTAACTCTAAACCTACTCTCAGCCAAATTCTAAGCCTAATCTATCTAGGCCTATAAATAAAAAATGAGGCAGCAAACAACAGAAGCCCCATAGTAACTCTTTGGGTGACTTCACATCCCCGGCATTTCCCAGCTGTTGTTGGCTGTCTCCTGCACACAGAGGACACCACTGGAGACTGGACCAGAGTGGCTACAGAACTAGTAAGTATTTAGTGTTTTTTTCTTTATAGGGCTAAATAGATGAGGCTTAGAATGTAGCTGAGAATAGGTTTAGAGTTTAGAGTCCACTTTAATAAATGTCCCCCATAGTATGTTTCTTCTGAAATTAAAGCCTTCTTGATTTCAAACATTTTTTCTAAGGTAAAGTTCCACCTGAAGACACATATAAAGGCCCACCTTTCAGGACAGCTTTGATTTAATCAAAAAGCACATGTATGTAAATCAGTGTTAAATATTACTACCTGGAATCTCTCTTCAAGTTAAAGAGTAACTCCACTTTTGTTGAGAAAAAAACATTCCACTCTTGGTGATTTATGTACATTGCAGGTATTTTAACAAATTTGGTTGCAGATTCCTACCTTTTGTTACTGTGAAGAAATATCTGGTTGTCTGTGTCCATTTGCAGGGTGAATGTGTATGGGGATGACTTTATAATTATCAATCAGCTGCTGCACTCGCAGGGTTCTAATGAGTAAAGTGGCAGGGTTTGCATGCCCTTTGGATTTGATATCCCTTTGAGAGTATCTCAGAAAAAATTACATTTTTGTAGCAGGGGATGCCCAAAATCTGATTTGTATCTTAGTGCAGACTTCTAGGAATATCATGTAAGCCAATCACACAAGCTGGAAATGACATTTTCATTGTTATATTTGAACTCAGATGTGAAATTCATTAAGAAATGGATCCTTTTGTTTCCAAAACTGGCAAAAAATAAAAATTTGTTGAACAGTGTTATCTGTGTCTGCTGCTTGCCCTGACCTCTGTCTTGTATCCTGGTTATCTGTACCTGCTACCTGCCCTGATCTCTGTCTTGTATCCTGGTTATCTGTGTCTGCTGCCTGCCCTGACATCTGTCTTTTATCCTGGTTATCTGTGTCTGCTGACTGCCCTGACATCTGTCTTTTATCCTGGTTACCTGTGTCTGCTGTCTGCCCTGACATCTGTCTTGTATCCTGGTTATCTGTGTCTGCTGACTGCCCTGACATCTGTCTTTTAGCCTGGTTATCTGTGCCTGCTGTCTGCCCTGACCTCTGTCTTGCATCCTGGTTCTTTTTGTCTGCCTACCCTGACCTCTGGCTTTTATCTGTGTTATCTATATCTTCCTTGGTGTGAGCTTCAGCCCTCTTGGCCAGTCTAGACCTACAGTTCCTGGTGTGCTAATTTGTTCTCTCTGTGATCCATTGTGTCTAGAGCAGGGTGAACTCAGGCGCCATTGGCCACAGAGAACACAAATCAGGAACACACCAAGAAATGTAGCACGGGACCAGATGTCTGGGCAGGCTGGTGAACCCAGGAGTCATGAGACCAAACCCCTTGAGGGGTCCCTAGTGAATACCAATTTGTACTTAGACTCTGCAATGGGGGATTTCACATCACTTGCTCTCACCTGGAGCATCCTGGACCACATTGGTAAGATGTAGGTCCTGCGAGGGTCGTGTTCCACAGTTCCAGATTCCTTCTGTTTAAGTGTGCCTTTTGAGCTCCCAAGTCTTCTCTGTTCTGGTGTGCTTCCTCAAACACCTTGTTGAGATGTAGCTCCAGCTCCAGCAAGGATCATGGTCCACAGTGTTAGTGCCCAAGGTGCTCAGCATTCTCAAAGCTTGCTGTTGGCCTACACCTCTCAGGTGCTTCAACTTCCTGTTGGGTATCCCATAATGGGTAGCTAAAGAGTCCACATGGCCAGGCACATGCTGACATTGCTCTTGGTTAGCATTTGGAAGAAAAAGGCAAAAACTAACTAACTCTAAACCTACTCTCAGCCAAATTCTAAGCCTAATCTATCTAGGCCTATAAATAAAAAATGAGGCAGCAAACAACAGAAGCCCCATAGTAACTCTTTGGGTGACTTCACATCCCAGACATTTCCCAGCTGTTGTTGGCTGTCTCCTGCACACAGAGGGCACCACTGGAGACTGGATCAGAGTGGCTACAGAACTAGTAAGTATTTAGTGTTTTTTTCTTTATAGGGCTAAAAAGATGAGGCTTAGATTGTAGCTGAGAATAGGTTTAGAGTTTAGAGTCCACTTTAATAAATGTCCCCCATAGTATGTTTCTTATGAAATTAAAGCCTTCTTGATTTCAAACTTTTTTTCTAAGGTAAAGTTCCACCTGAAGACACATATAAAGGCCCACCTTTCAGGATAGCTTTGATTTAATCAAAAAGTACATGTATTTAAATCAGTGTTAAATATTACTACCTGGAATCTCTCTTCAAGTTAAAGAGTAACTCCACTTTTGTTGAGAAAAAAACATTCCACTCTTGGTGATTTATGTACATTGCAGGTATTTTAACAAATTTGGTTGCAGATTCCTACCTTTTTGTTACTGTGAAGAAATATCTGGTTGTCTGTGTCCATTTGCAGGGTGAATGTGTATGGGGATGACTTTATAATTATCAATCAGCTGCTGCACTCGCAGGGTTCTAATGAGTAAAGTGGCAGGGTTTGCATGCCCTTTGGATGTGATATCCCTTTGGGAGTATCTCAGAAAAAATTACATTTTTGTAGCAGGGGATGCCCAAAATCTGATTTGTATCTTAGTGCAGACTTCTAGGAATATCAGTAAGCCAATCACACAAGCTGGAAATTAAATTTTTTGGGGGTGTCCTGTACACCATCTGTGTTGCAATATTGCATTTAATTTTACAGAAAATGTCAGTGCTGCAGATTGAAAAGGAAAGATTTTTTTTAATAACAGATTAAAATATGAATTGTGTATTACATATATATGTGGATTTTTTTTCATTATCTGCTATTTTTTCCCATTAAAAAGTTACCCTTTAACCATTTGAAGTCTGGACACTTTTACCCCCTTCCTGTCCAGGCCAATTTCCACCTTTTAGTACTATCACACTTTGACAATTGCGCGGTCATGCAACACTGTACCAATATGATTTTTTTAGCATTTTTTTTTTAGACAGATAAGACCTTATTGTGGTGGTATTTATTCACCGCTGGGAGTTTTATTTTTTTGCTATATAAATGAAAATGTCGAAAAATTTTTAAAAAAAGTGTTTTGCTTATAAAATTTTTCAAATAAATAATCTTTCTTCATAAATCTTGGCCAAAATGTATTCAGTTATCTTTTAGGTAAAAAAAAAAATTCAAATTAGTTTATAACCAAAAATTATAATTTTAGTTTACATTTTTATTTTTTTTTTTTTTATATTATTATTTTTTTTTTTTGTTTTTTTTTTACATACCGTCACCCTAGCAGTACAGTGTCACCATAGTGACACTGTACTATTTGTGGGGGGTGATGAAGTTTTTTTTTTTTTTTTACACTGATTGCTTTTACACCCATAACGGCTGTAAAAGCAATCATTTCTCCTTCTCTCTGGCTGCATTCTTGCAGCCATTGAAAAATACTGTGTGTGCTGTGATTGGTCACAGCTTGTCACATGGTACAAGGTGTGACGGGTGTGGCGAAGGACTAGCCAATCTAAAACTGCGCTGCCACTTGCGTAACAATGCCACTCTCAGCTGCACCCTGCACAAAGATTTTTCAGCTCACTGGACCCCAATTTAGGTGCCAGCAGTCTGAGAGCGATTGTTACTGGGTCAGGTTAATTACGCAATTAACCCTTCACACTGCCACCACCAACTTTTTACAGAAGGAGGAGACTCACAAATCTTAGCAGTAACACTATGATGTTTGACTAAGCGTCTGTATACCCACTGTCACCGCAGACAGATGTATCCAGAGATTTTAAAACACATAGTAGCACTCTTCAGAGACAGGGATTCTTAGTTTGTATTAAAGAGCTTTAGAAACAGTTCAACACTTTTCAAAAAATAGGTTTATTACTAAAAAAGGTCAAAATGGTGCAATAAAAATATTTACAGAAAAGATGTAACATATATATATATATATATATATATAGAGAGAGAGAGAGAGAGAGAGAGAGAGAGAGAGAGAGAGAGAGAGAGAGATAACACAACAGAGATTAAAGAAAGAAGTTTAAGAAGGTAGGATACTTGCAGAAGTCCTGGTTTTAAGCAGCGTTCAAGTGTCCTGAACAAAAGGGTGTCTTTTCTCCAAAAGTTGGTTCCTGATGTTAAAAGGGAGAATCTCTTCAGCTTCTCTTCAGGCATGACAGCCTTTTTTATAGGAACCCAGCAGGGTGTTTCCCTAAAACAGAGAACCAATCGCCTCATTTGGGGAGGGGTGTTTAGGCAGGGACTCAGGCTATGACCAAATCCCTCCCACGCTTATACGTTGGTCAATACCCTTCTATAGGTACATGTAGCATCCTAGCCACTGGCAGATTAATACTTAGAATCATATCCTGAACGTCCAGACGTCAAATATGACATATCTTACTGTTCCAGATAAAGACATATTGCTTTCTAATCTCGTGTAGGTGCCACATAGGGGTGTAAGGTGTCAGGTGACTCGTATTAAACTGACCTATCTGAATATATGCTTTGTTTTATTGTACCTTGTTCCTGTCGCAATTTATGAATTTGTATGAAAAAAGTGGTTTCAAGTGGGATGTACGTTTTATTGCCACTCTGGAATGCTTCCATGTCCAGTGACTGACTGATTTATAGCTTTACGACCAGGCCAAGGCAAGAGTCCGACAGACATCATGGAACCAGCTAATTGGGTTTACAACCATGAAGCGTATCCAGCTGTGCCCTGTGCACTCCTGAATTCAGCACACACACAGACCACATTCCTTGCAAGGTGAGGGGGCTGGAGGGAGAGAGAATGATATTTGTAGAGTATGATACAAGATGGTGGATCTTAGCAAAATCGGTTGTCCATATCTGTGCGCACAATTATCACACAAGGCTGTTGTGAATAGCCTTGTACCATGTGATCTCTGTGATCACAGATTTCACACGTAGTAAGCAATGATGTCAGAAGTGACACCTTGCTTACTACTCTTCATGTGATCACTGATTGGCCAATGAATGATCACATGATCGGGACCTCGCACAGAGGTCCTGTGCAACAATCAGTGTTCTGCTGTGTTCGAAGGACACAGCGGACACCGGATTGCGGTGCTGCTTGCTCCCAGGGAGTGTGCACAAGCAGGGAGGGGGGGAGGACATTTATAAATGGCCACCCGCCCCTGCACTGCTCCTGTCCGGCCGTTTGTATACATGGGCAACACAGTGGCTAAGTAGTTAGCACCTCTGCCTAGCAGCACTAGGGTTATTGGTTTGAATCCCAACCACGGCATTACCTGCATGGAGTTTACATGTTCTCCCTGTGCCTGCGTGTGTTTTCTCAGCCCAAAGACATGCTAAAAAGCCCTCAACAAGTTGCATTTTTAGTTCCATAGACATCAATGGAAACACAGCAGAAACACATAAAAAATGCAGTGCTTGCATTTTTGTTGCATTTCTTCTACATTTTTGTTAGCATCATAACGTGTGAAAAGCAAAATACACCGGGGAAAACACATCAACCGCAACCTGCATAGGTGTGACCCAGGCCAAATACAAGGACTGAAAGTCCTCTAGGATTTTTAGCAGAGTGATTTTGGTATCATTTGAATCTCTTAAAGTCTCTCCCTGAATTACCATGGATTGCTGCTCCACTGAGGCTAGTCTGCTGAGTTTGTGGTTCAGCCCTTCTAAATCCCTATTTTCTAGTGATCTACACTATATTGCTTCTCAGCCTTTTGGTTAAGATCAAGTGAAGTATCTGTTCGTATCAGTGTCCAGTAAGGTGCTCCGCCATCATTGTTGCCTTTTGGTAGGAATGGCTGGCTGTACTATATAGTATCGCTACTGGTATGATGGGGGCTCTGAAAGCTAGTACCAGCTGAAACAGAAATTGGGGTGCCCACAGGCAGTTGTGGCATGGGAATAATTCCCCCAGGAAACCAGAGAGACCCAATTTCTCCTGATTTGAGTGGATCTACCTTGTCTGGCAATGGGCTGAGAAGTCAGAGAGTCCGCAGTGTCTGTGCCCCACTGGGCATGGGAAACCCACAGTGTGAATGGCCACAGCATTAAAACTTTTTTTGCACTGTGCCTCTATGGGCTAGGCCTTTTGGCTAAGTCCTTGGTAATTTTTGCTACCAGGCCTCAGGGCCTAGCCAGTGCACAACTTTATGGCCACTATTAATTTAATTTTTTTTTCTCCTCACATTTGTCACTCACTGTTGTGTGTGTTTTTTCACTGGAGTGTGAGGGTCCTCGGGCCTACCCTGAAATCTAGTCGGAGTCTACTGTGGCCATTAGGATTCTTCCTCCCCTGAACCTGCGGGTCTTTCTTCAGGATCAGGAGAGTCCCTCAACCTAGTACTTGGTGGTTCTCTTCAGCTGCCCATGAGAAGAGGGGTCCGGCAGACCTTTTGGCTAGGACTAGGTGGACCAAGTTCGTAACTTTGTCCCTGTCAGAAGCCTTGCACCCTGGGGGTTCAGGGTAAGTTCTTATCCCTTTGAGGAGTGGACAAAAAGCACACCCTTGAGTGCACTTTGTGTGCGTTTCACATGCACGTTTTTGTCCACTTACAGGTTTTTATTCTCGTGCACCACAGTGGATTAAAAAAAAAAAAATTGCAGTAGTAAGATACATGATTATAAAGCAAATTAATTTATATTTGAAGTAATAGTAATCAATTTTATTGCATAAATTTAAACTATGCTACATACACTCATATACTTAATTCTGCATTCCATGTGATGCAGGTTTCTTTTATTTCCAGAAATGACTAAATATATATTTACGTATCAGGTTTAACCTCCCTAGCGGTCTGATTATGTCCAAATTTCTGTGCTGAAAGCGGTACATTTTTTTGCATGGAAATGTGTTGTTTTTTTATTGTAGGCCTGTAATTTTTAGGAATAACTCACTGAAATCTGTCCAAACAAGAGTCTAGTAAACATTCCGGGTATAATAAAACTTGAAACATGAAATCATAAATTATAATTTAATAATCATAAAAAAATAATATAACAATAATACATTTAATTCAATAATATAATCAAACCAAAAACACTGAAATTTGAAATTTAGCGCCAAGTTCGCACATCGCTGAGCTCAGTCGCAGAATAGTTTTCAGTGTCTGATGACAAATTTCCCCACAAATCATTATCACTCAATTCTGCAAGTAGTTCTAATTTACTATCACTGTTCTCTAGCCGGTCTAAAACCGCTTTTGACCTAAAGGGACGCTTTTTGGACACCATGGATGTTTCTCAGTTTTCAGGCAGAATGAACAGTCAAAATGCAGGCAGGGCACAGGACAAAGCAGTAGGGACAAAATGTATGTGAAATGCTTTGAAACAGTAATGTTTTACTATGTAATATTCGTTTATTAGAAAATGACAGTTTTTAAAATTTTCAAATTTGCCGCCGGTTCCGGCCCCCATACGTCCCGACGCTCGCAGGGACCGGAACACGGAAGCCAGATGCCGGCATCAGCCGGAGGAGATGGCCGGGGACGCTGCAGGGTACACATCGCGGGAGCGAAGGACAAGGTAAGCGCTGCAAGGAATCCCTGAGCAACGCCGCATGGTAAGCCCGAGTGTAGCTCGGGGATACCGCTTTTGGTACTGAAACTTTACCCCGAGCTACATTTGGGAATATCACCAGGGAGGTTAATCAATGCCCTATTTGCTATCTAGCGGGCCTATGTGCTACATGGTGTGTTGATGATTTGCTGTCATTGTACTGTGATTACATCTCTTGTTGCATGCTACTGTTCATGCAAGGGCTGTTCACATATCCCTTATTCACATTGTAGATTCAAGGTTGTGACAACTCCTCAAAGCTGCCATATGTCCATAAAAAAAAAAAATGACTCCTACTTATTTTTAGTTCCTTCTTAGGCTAGGTTCACACCTATGCAGGTTGCATTTGAGCCCTTTCTGCATTATGTTTTTTCCGCATTTTTGATGTGTTTTACTTTTTTTTTTCATTTTTCTTATTGCTAAGCAGATTTCAAATGTAAAAAGCATAAAAAATACAGCAAAAACGCAATACATGCTTTTCTGCAATGTTTCCATTGAAGTCTATAGAACCAAAAATGCAACTTTTTTGCATTCAAAAAAATCCCTGACCCTTTCCAAAAAATACAGCGGGCGAAAACCGGGAGATATGAACCTGCCCCATAGGAAATCATGTTAAGTGGACCGTACTGCGTTTCTTCAGAACATGCTTAGGTGTGAACCTAGGGTTAATCACTGTTCCTGCTAAATATTTTAGAAGTTGAATATTTACCTATATCTGCTGCTGATTTTTAAAATTTTAGCTATGAGGAGGAGGTTGACAGGAGTTTTTTTTATTATTATTATCAGCTGGCCCAAAAAAACATTGTAACAAAGAGAATATTGTTTTAAAATGAGAAGCTAATGAAATCACTGTGCATAAACATTTACCACTGTTTGCTCTTTTCTTTTCATTGGAGGGATTTGATATGTTTGAGAATCTGTGCACTTCCTCTCCACAACTTCATTTTCATTAACTGGTTCCCGTGAGCAAAGTGCGAGAAGTGCCTGTTGGATTAGTTGTACTGTTTTTTTTTTCTTTGTTCAGACCTGCTGAGCTCTGACATATGAAGAGATCATTCAAACTTAAATTCTAATTTTGTAAAATTCTTTCATAAGTGTCTATTAGTGGTATGTGAACCCCAAAATAATTTGTTTTCCTTCAAAAAAAGGAATTGTTTTGCATAAATGTAAGTATGTATATGTTATGTGGCTGGTTTAGTGCCGTATTAGAGGAAGTATCCTTATTATATTGTGAAAGAAACATTTTAAAGCTGAACTCCAGGAATGTGACAACAACAACACTTGCAGTGCCCCCCACCGCGCAAGGGTTCAATGCGTATTTAGTGTAGGGGTGCAGAGATAAGGGAAAATACTTCCATTACTCCTGGCTTCAATAGACTCCCTTAATCTATGTGACCGGTCCCCTGCAGTCTCCTCTGCTAGGTGCCTCTGGCTGTGGTTGCATGCTGCCCTCCTTGGTATAAATGACACAGTTAAAGTAGAACTAAAGGCAAAACCTTTTGCATTTTGGAGGGAGAAAGGTTAAAACCCCTGTCAGCATTCGTGTATGTACATTTTGTGCTATCCTAGGCAACACAAAAATTGGCTGCCTTCCACCTACACCACCCCTCCTGCCGAGAGCCTGACACCGACCAACACCCCCTCACCTGACTGAGAGCCTTCGACTAATTGCACCCTCCATACACCCACCACTAACCCCCTCCCCCCTCCCAGCGAGAGAGAGAAGGACACTTACCTTCACAGCTCTGGACATCCCTGGGAACGAGAGTCGGGCTCTGCATTCACCGCTAAGCAGCCAGCAGTCTCTCTTGGATCCCACCTGGTCCCAATGCCTTCTTCCAAAGCGGCAGTGTCGCCCCCCCCCTCCAGAAAATGCCACACTAGGCATTAAATGCACCCTTGCCTGTCAGGTTTTTTTTGCCCTTTGGTCAGATGTCTAGTGACGTCATGGCGCTTGGCACCTTTCCAGCAAATTTGAACAGGACTACAAGGAGGGGCTAAGGATAGAAGAGGACAAAAGCCTGGAGGCAAGTACAGAAGATCAGTGTGTGACAGCTCCAGGCCACACAGACTCTGAGGGGCAGTCAGTCAGTCACTCTATGGGGGTTAACTGAGGTAAAGGGGTGAGTGAAGACCCTAAATTAATGGGAGACACTGATATAAACGTCCCCCTTATATCAGTGTCCTCAATCCCCTCTTACATCAGTGAACCCCTTTACCTTAGTGTATTCACTCTAGTATAAAGGGAAACTCTAATGTAAGATGTTCTCTGGTCACCAGAGCCTTACAGCAGTCAGCAGAGTTTACCCTTACAGTGCAAGGGGAAACATTTTGGACTCTAAGGGAAGTAGGAACTCTGCAAACTCTTACACCAGAGTTCCCCTTTACACCAGAGTCTGCAACATTCCCTTTCACAAAGGGGCCATAGAGTTCGCCTTACCATCAGGGTCCGCAGAGTTCGCCTTACCATCAGGGTCCGCAGAGTTCCCCTTTCCATCAGGGTCCGCAGAGTTCCCCTTTCCATCAGGGTCCGCAGAGTTCACCTTTCCATCAGGGTCCGCAGAGTTCCCCTTTCCATCCATCAGGGTCCGCAGAGTTCCCCTTTCCATCAGGGTCCGCAGAGTTCCCCTTTCCATCAGGGTCCACAATGTTACCCTTTCAAT